TATTTTGTGCATGTTACCTGCCATGTTTTGATCCTTGCTCCATTTTGTGTTCCGTTGAATGTGCAATTCTTTACATGTATTTCTTCAACTTCAGCTTTTGCTCCGTTTTTACCTAAGCTCCCAATACTGTAAGAAATTTGAGTATTAGTAATGTACTACTAAGGGAGCTCATTTCCTTAACTACTTGTGTGTAAAGTATACCTTATGCCATGGCCGGGGCCACAAGTCAGCTCAGTGATGTTGATATAAGAGGAACCATCATTAATTGCGATACAATCGTCACCTACATACAAATAATGTGACAAAGTTGAATTAGAATTAGAATGGATCGGGCATCAGGGGAGAGATCATAGGAGTTAGGTAAATTTCCTACCCGTTCTGATGTTGCTCTTCGAAATTGCAATGTTGTTTGAGTTGGATATGTCAATACCATCAGTATTAGGGCTTTCATCTGGAGCAATTAAAGTTATAAAACTGAAAGTTCCATGCTGACAACTATTTATAGAGATATGATTTCGTCCACTGTCGACTGAGGTCAATCCGCTCACATGAAGCGAGGAACAATTTAGAAATCTCATGGTCTAACCATCAAAAAGCAAAAGTTAAACTTAACCATTTATAGTTGTTTACGTATATGTAAATAAAGCAGAGTCAAATAATATTAACTTGTAATTAAGTGGGCATTAGAGTGATAGTAAATATGAAATGATTTAGGCCATGTGAGAGTCTGTGAAAGTTGACACTCATAGTTCAATGTCCCCTTTCTTTGGAGTTCAAAGAACAGTAGCTCGCCATGTGCTTGTAGCTATAGCCTTTCATCAATCAATATAACACGAAATTAAAAGTTAAGAACAATTGAAGGTAACTCCCTTACGTACCGTGGGCCTCTTGCATACAACGGGTTTGATGCAACTACTCACCTAAAAAATAAATTGGCATAAATGTGTTAGTATTTTGCCAAAAATATGAATTAAAATTAGAAGGAAATTCAGCAAAAGAAAAAAAAAAAAAGAATAAATGGAACAATTATTTCATTATACCGTGCAATTTTTTGTGGTAAATTAAATACCCAGGCAATTCTTAGCATGTCATTCTTAAAAAAACAAAAAATTTGTTAATTTTGTTATTAGCCTTTTTCTTTGGGAGGGGGGGGGGGGGGGGTTGGGGGTTGTTAATTATGCTTACCCTTGGGCACCAGTCCCACCATTCAGATCCTCTAGCATCTAATGTGCCTTTCCCAGTTACTTTTAGTCCTGTCACATTTGCAAAGAGAATCCATGCCTCAGATTGGCTCTGCCAAGATGAAGTTGATCTGCTAGGTGCCACAACATCACCCATAATCTGCACCATGGTTTAAAAAATTCACACAATCTTGGTTTAATATATCTTTTTAATTAATATGTAAATAGAAAGATGGATATAAGATGTTGGTTTCAACAATCTATTTACCTGAACCGCAACATTAGACTTACAAGGACCTTCGAATGTAATAGGACTAAACAGGAATTTCTTGTTCTTTGGGATAATGAGAGTAGGATTTTTCCTCCTCGAACCACAAACTGCATCCCATGCTTTAAGGAAAGCCTTTCACAAAAATATGAATAAATTAATTTTGTTTTTATAAGGTCAAGGTTTTCTGATATTAATTTGTGCATTGCTCAGGGCAATTTGATAATAATAAGAAGAAGAAGAAGAAGAAGGATGTTTATACTTGAAAATCATCTGATTGTCCATCTCCAGTTGCTTCATAATTCATCACATTAAAGTGTTTAGAATCAACCAAAGTAACCAACAACAAAATTATTGAAAAGATGCTCAATAGATCCTGCAAGATCACATAAAATAATTAATAAAAGAATATCA